GCTTTGGGGCTTTGGGGTTTAGGGATTTAGGGTTTGGGGTTTAGGGCGTTTTTGGGTCTACGGCTTCACTGTTTTACGGTTTTGGACCAACAACCCAGGGTTCACACGACTAGGCTTTCGGGGAGGAGGATTGTCGCTTGAAGTTCGGGGTTTTAGGTTTGGGGGTTTTGGGGCTGAAGGCTTTTAGAGGCGAACTACTTGGAGGATCTTGGGACTTAGTAAGTAGGGTTATAAGTACCCTAATTGGGCTTGTAAATATAGTTACCTTGTTTATAACCTCAGTTACTAAGTCCCATGACCCTTTAAGTAGAGATTATTAATGTATTACTCTACAAGAGTTTCAAACGGATCTATAAGGGTGCTACACAGGTTGTAGGAGGTCTCTCTATGGGCGGCGGTTAAGGACATCGCGCTGAAACCGTCATGTAAGAGTTTGAAACATGAAGAGATTGAGCATAAACCCGGAAAACAGGCCCACCACACGCATGACATACCCCGAACGTGTGGACGTAGGAAAACTAGCACAAACAGTCCTAAACCCTAAGCCGTCACAGTATCCACAGAACGATGAGCCTTGAACTTGGAAACCAGACCTCATTCCCGGAACCTCCAGCATTCCAATATCCTCTAATTAAGGAATATACCTTAAATCATATTAGTAGGGATCCTACTCGAATTTACTTGGAGGGTCGGGGGACCCTGTAAGTAGATCATAAATAGACTTAAAAGTACCCGACAAGGGACCCCAAATTGGGGCTATGATACTTAGAAGTCTATAGAATAGCCACTTACTAAGTCCCGCGACCCTCCGAGTAAGGTATACTCCTGATTTGAAGCATGTGGGGGAAGGACTGGGGCTGCACTCCCTTCACCTGGTAAGGGGGTATAGGGTTCAGGGGTTTAGGGTTTAGGGTTTAGGGGTTTAGGGGTTTAGGGTTTAGGGTTTAGGATACTTGGAGGGTCGGGGGACTTAGTAAGTGGTCATTTTATAGACTTGTAAGCATCATAACCCCGAGTAGGCTCTCTTTTCGGGTACTTATAAGTCTACTTGCTACCTACTTACTAAGTCCCCCGACCGCCCAGGTATGGGTAGTTCTCTAAAGTAGGGTCCCTGTGGGAGATCCTTTTCACAAGGGTGACGTACTATTTTTGGGACCTGAGAAAGGGACCCTAATTTATAGAACTACCCGTATAGCTCCTGAAGAAAACCCTGCCGGTCTTCTTTGCTTGTCGTGGCCCTAAACCCACACCCCTACACTCGACCTTGAACTACCAAAGCCTTTTCCTTGTAGAGCCCCCATAGAATCAAAATACCCTGTTATGTAGTTTCAGGGTACGCCCAAACCCCGAAAAACCTTCAAGTCCAGAACCCACGTCCTCCCGCCCTGGAAGCACATAAACGCAACAGTTACGACTCTGACCCAGGAACCCCTAAGAAGATCAGAAAGGGCCAATGCAAGCCGATGAAGAAAACTACCATAAAAAGGGGACTACATTGAAAAAGACACTTACATGGCAGGTCCCCACGTTAAACATGTATAGTAATATCTTAGCAGTTATATATATATATATATAAACCCTAAACCCTAAACCCTGCGTAGGCAAGGCCGGTCCTCCTGCCGTCGAAGCACCATGGCTGCCACAGAATCACCTAGGCTTCCAATCACACTCTAGACCGTAAGCCCTACTTGGAGGGTCGGGGGACTTGGTACGTAGTTGTTTATTCGACTTATGAGACTCAAAACCCCTATTAGGATTTCTTTCAGAATGCTTATAAGTCTACTTACTCCCGACTTCCTAAGTCCACCGACCCTCTGGGTAGGCCCCAGACTCTAAACCAAATCCCTAAGCCCCTATACCTAGTTTGTAAACCCGAAAGCCCAAACCCTTCTCGCTGCCAGAAAGTCACCAAAGACCGTGCCGTCCGCCCCAGCATCGAAGGGTCGGACCTCATAGGAGGAGGGAGCACTACTTGGAGGATCTTGGGAATTAGTAAGTAGGGTTATAAGTACCCTCCTTGGGGTTATAAGTATAGTTACCTTGTTTATAACCTCAGTTACTAAGTCCCATGATCCTTGAAGGGCCGTATAAGGGCACGGACGAGCGGATCTTCTAGCTATTTTTAATATGCACCGATTTCCAGCCGAGAAGCTCAAAAAGCCCCACGAAAGTGCAAGGAGGAAAAGAGAACAATGCTCAGAATCGGCACGGCTGGCAAAGCTGGTGGCGATTGAAACATGACATGAATGCTTGATCGCTTGGTCGGTGGCTTGCTTGTTTGGCTGGCTAGGCGCCTTGCTTAAGACGATATCGGTAGTTCTCTACATGAAGGTCCGTTTTTTAGGGTTCCTTAAAGGGACCTATAAGGCTTTCTATAGGGTTTTTATAAGGGTACTATTCCGATTTTTAATGAACCTGTGCCTTTCCCTCCCACGAAAGGAAGGTCCAGTCGACGAGGTCATTCAGGGCTTTGGGTGTAAGGTTTAGGGTTTAGGGTTTAGGGTTTATAAGTTTAGGGTCATTCAGGGCTTTGGGTGTAAGGTTTCAGGCTTACGTTTGGCTTAGGGTTTAACGTAGAGGCGGAGCGAATTATTAGAATAGGGTTTTGGGGTCCTTTATAGTATGATTATAGCAAGGAACCCCCAAAAAATAATATAGGTAGTTATTGAGGCCCTAAACCCTAAAACCCTAAACCCTAAAACCCTAAACCCTAAACCCTAAACCCTAAACCCTAAACCCCAGAGGAATTCGAGGAGGATCTCTTCAGGGCTTCGAGGCTTGGGGACGCGGACATGGACGACGGAGATTGCACGAGCGCTTCCATCTGCAGGACAAACTTATCTGGGGATCCATGCAAACGCCTACAGTCTTAAGGTCTTTAGGGTTTAGGGTTTAGGGTTTGAGGCGAATTGTCCTCACACGCCGGCCACGAAACGTGAAACCGACTCTTACAAAACCAATCAAAACCCTCATAAACACCTTCGACAACCCCGGTAGAACCTACGAAAGCCCTGTGAAACCCTACACGAGCCTGCAGATGCCCCTTGTAAAGACCATAACAGCCCTGTCTGAAAAAACCTTGCAGCCCTCATAAACCTCCAAGCAAGACTTGAAACCTTGTAAAAAAACCTTTTGGAACCCTAAACCCTAAACCCTAAACCCTCAAAGAACCCAATCTCCTGCCAAACAACACTCCAGAAGAATTGGGGCCGCCGCATAGCCGTCCTTAGAGCTGACCAAGCCGTCGGAGTAGAGATACCTTTGGGCTGAGGGGTTTCGGGTTTAGGGTTTAGGTGCATTACCCACAATAAGGAATATACCATGATTCCCATAGTTGAGGGTCCTTAAGTCCTTAAGCCAATGCAGGAGTTATGTCATCAACAATATGTGGGTCCTAGGGTTTAGGGTTTCGGGTCTGGGGTTTCGGTGTGTAGGATTGGGTTTGGGGTGTTGGGGCTTCGGGTTGTGCTTAGGGTTTAGGGTTGAGGGTTGAGGGTTGAGGGTTTAGGGTAGGTTACTTAAAGGATCATGGGACTTAGTAACTGGGTTTATAAGTAAGGTAACTATGCTTCTAATTACTTATAACCCCAACTAAGGTACTTATAGCCCTACTTACTAAGTCCCAAGATCCTTCAAGTAGGGTGCAGAGACTTTCAGGGTACAGTATAAGGTTTAAGGCCTTGTAAACATGTAAACCCTAAACCCAAAACACCAGACACCCTGAACCCCAAGACTCCAAAACCCTAAGCCAGAAAACCAAAAGCCCAAAAGCTGGCTGACTGGTTCAATAGTTGGTGTCGGTTGCATATACGGAACACAGAATTCAGATGATGCCCTGGCCTAGGGCTTGGGGTTCGGGGTTCAGGGGTTCAGGGGTTCAGGGGATTTGGGTTTAGGATTTAGGGTTTAGTGTTTATCTAAACCCAAAACCAAACCGCATTGGACCCCTATCCTAAGCCCGAAGCCCTTCAACTTCGACTCGCCAAGCTAAACCCTAAGCAAAGCCCTAAACACCCTAAACTCTAGATTGAACCTCTCCGAGCCCTAAACCCCAAAGCTTCTACTTCGACCTTTTCAGAGAGCCCAATACCCCCTAAATAAGGAATATAGCTTAAAGCATATCATGAGGTCCCTTATAATTTGAGCCATGTTGCTTATTTAAGGGGTATTGGGCTTTCTGCATCCCTAACCCCGAACCCTATACCCTAAACCCTAATCCCTAATCCCTGAACCCTGAACCCTGAACCCTGAACCCTGAACCCCAAGCCCTAAACTCTAGACTAAACCCCCTTCGAGCCCTAAACCCCACATTTGAGGGGTATTGGGTCTGCATCCCTAACCCCGAACCCTATACCCTAAACCCTAATCCCTAAACGCCAAGCCCTGAACCCTAACCCCGAACCCCTTTTTCTGCAACTTCCCAACCCCTCTTTGAACATCTGAGCTCAGCTGCCCGAGGTTTGGGAAGGTGATAGAGGAGGCGCCCGCCACCGCAGCATCCTGGGGAGATCATCTACAGGGGTCTAGGGCTTATAGGGTTAAGGGCTTAGGGTTTAGGGTTTAGGGTCTAGGGCTGATAGGATTTGGGTACCGCGGTTTCGGGTCTAGGGTTTAGCACCCTTTTCCGGTAATCTTACTGAGTTGATGGAACCGTTCTCGGGGTTTCGGCTGTCGCACCTTCGATGGGTGTATTCCCAGAGTGGCCTGCAGGCACCCTAAACCCGAAACTCGATACGCTCTAATGCAGGGGCCATAATAATTAGAATAGGGTTTTGGGGCCCATGATACTACAACTATTATAAGGAACCCCAAAGTAGCATAGGTAACTATTAAGGCCCCTGTATTATACGGATGGGGACGATGACGGAATGGTTGCACTTAATGGGAGACAGACGGGGGTCAGTCTCGGCTCCCAGGACTTGCAAAATGCAAAGCTCTTTAGTCATACTGTTGATGATAGAAATGCGGGTTTAGGATTTAGGGTCTAGGGGTTTAGGGTTTAGGGTTTAAGGTAGATGATTGAAATGCTGCATTACCTTAAGGACCCTAAACTATGGGAATTATGGTATATTTGTTATTACGGGTAATGCAGGATTTATATCATCAACCGTACGGCTGACTACCCTAGCCTGGAAAAACTGACGTGTTCGTTATCATAGGTTTGTGCAAACATAGGTTTACATGTAATGTGTATATTACCCGGAAACGTCACAGCTTACCTATCCAGCCACTAGGATAAAAACCCCTGTTGGCAGCGTTCTTCAGGGCGACGTTCACATAGGTATACGATACAAGAGCCCGAAACCCTAACCCCACCTACAGATTTTGGGGGCTCCTGCTTATAGTTATACTATAAAGGAGCCCTGAACCCTAAACCCTAAACCCTAAACCCTAAACCCTAAACCCTAAGCCTACAAAACCTGGGGCCCCCGGCGCACTGGTTTGCGGCCACGGCGGCAGCGGCCTGCGCGACGGCGACCAGAGCCGAAGAGCAGGCCGAATTCACCTCAGCTCTCGCATTTTAGCGTGAACGCATACTTTGTTTAGGGTTTAGGTTTAAGAGAATTAGAGTTCCTTTTTGGTTTAACCTATCTGTTTTAAGGAGCCTAAAAAGGTGACCCCAAAAAGGAACTACAATGGAGACATCTCGCTTACGCGCAAGAAGGTTCTTTTTGGAAGCGTAGCGGCAGGCGGCGACATGCAACCGTTCTCGTCCATCGTATCGAAACGTCTCAGACGCGAAGGCGGAGTCTCGAGCGGCGATGCGTTGCCGGTAGTGCCCATCCATGCCAAGCAGCACCTCATGCCCCACGCCAAGAACCCTGCGGGTTTGGTCAGCTCCGGCGGCACGAAGACAGACGCGGAGGTCGTCGTCTGTCAAGTTGTTCAATCCGCGAAAGACGTCCGCTGCCTTGCGGAAGTCGTCCAGAGACTGCGTAGCGGATCTTGCTGGAGCACCCGACATGGCTTGGCGAGGCGAGGCGGATGCTATTCGAGAATCTGTGCTCTCGAGCGATCAGCAGCTGCGGTTCATCCTTGCTGCAGTCGCTCGTACATGTCACTCCGTGCAACAAGTTGCACTACACGACAAGAGTTACCTTTAGGGCACAAGGATAGTGACGTTCCAGCTTTCTGGCCTCGACCTTCCAAGGTTGTGATAGGGGGTTAGGGTTTAGAGTTTAGGGGGTTTTAGGTTTAGGGTTTGGGGCTTAAGGTCTAGGGTTTAGGGTTTAGGAGATTTAAGGTTCAGGGTTTAAGGTTATCTAGAAATTGTTAAATGGGGGGTTCTCGGGTTTCTGATGGGTCTTTCTGGCCTTTAGGGTTTATGCAAGGGTGCAGGTGAGGCTTTGGGTAGAGGGACTAGGGATCACAGGGTAAAGACTTAGGTTTTTGGGACTCGACTACTGATATACGGCTTAGGTTTTTTTTTCGGGTCTGGGGTCTAGGGGTGATTCTGCAAGTTGTTATGTTTCTGTGATTTCGGGGGACATTCCTGGGTTGCTTTTGTAGGTTTACTTATGGAGATATACAGGGATATTGTGGGTTTGAAGGCTTAGGGTCTTCTTTCAGGTTTAGGATGTAGGGTTTAAAGGGGTTTTAGGTTCAGCATGCAGCACGCAATATCTATAAATCTCGGACCGAAAACCCTTCAAGGTGTAAACTTTGACACCCTCAACCCTAAACCCCCAACGGACCTATGTGAAGACTCGGATGAAACGAGCATCTTTTCAGGATCTGAGTACAGAAAGAACCCTAAACCCCGAACCCTGTTCTGTCATAGTTAACGTCAGGGCACCTTGAAAAATTCTATTCTTGACCTTTGATTATGTTTCGTCCCCCTATGTTCAGGTTCTAGGAACTACGCTTTGTAATGTAAAACTGAATTTGGGCGGTAAACCCTAAACCCCTAAACGGCCCTAAACCCCCAAACGGCCCTAAACGCCCCTAAACGGCCCTAAACGGCCCTAAACCCCTCAACGGCCCCAAACGACCCTAAATGGCCCTAAACCCCTAAACCCCTAAACGGCCCTAAACCCCAAAACGGCCCTAAACGGCCCTAAACCCCTTGACGGCCCTAAAACCCCCAAAACCCAAAACCGGAATCCTTGGCAGCCCACGTTCATGGAGGGCCCGGTGAAGTCCAGAAGGTAGGAAACCCGGGTGGCGATGTAGTCCTGCAGCCGACTCTTTTGGGCTTAGGCCTTTACTTGGAGGATCTTGGCACTTGGAAACTGTGGCTATACATAAGGCCACTATACTTATAATAGTTACTTATAACCCCAATTAAGGTACTTATAAGCCTACTTCACGCCCTTAGGGTTTAGGGTTTAGGCCCTACTTGGAGGATCTTGGGACTTAGTAAGTGGGGTTATAAGTACCCTAAATTGGGATTATAAGTAATTATAAGTATAGTTACTTTGTTTATAACCTCAGTTACTAAGTCCCATGATCCATTAAGTAGACCTAAACCCTAAGGGGCTGAGATTTGGAGGGCGGAGACTTGACCCTAAACCCTAAACCCTAAACCGCTTGAGGGTTTAAGGTTTGAGGCGTTGAGGGCTACCGAGGCCTGGGACTTGAGGGCGTCACGGGTTAGAGCTTTAGGGTCTTAGGGTTTTGGGTTCAGGGTTTAGGGTTTAGAGTTTAGGGTTTAGGGTTTAGGGTCTTAGGGTCTTAGGGTTTTGGGTTTAGGGTGTCACAGGTTAGAGCTTTAGGGTGGTAGGGTCTGGGGTTTGAAGGCTTAAATCCCATGCATGGCAAATCTGTTGATCTGGGTAGCCGATTGAAGGCTGAACGCACCCATTCTGTAGCTGCCGTTGGTTAAGACTGCGGGATTGGGATAATGAGGTGTGTAGGAATTTTGGGGGTCTGGTTCGTCTTGCATTCAATGATTCAAAGCCCTTAACCCAATGCCCCAAATCCACGACGCTCCTTCACATCAACATGTATCCTGAAACAGTTCCCATCGTAGAAAGCCGGTCTCTTCAAAAGCTGCCTTCTGAGGTTTCAGATGAGTTCACACAGGCTAGGGTGACGCTGATGTCCTTTTCGTTGCCGATCTCGGTCAGGAAGATGTCCTGCGGGTTCATGGTGTCCTGCGTCAGGTTCATCATCTCTGAGCAGTTGGTAACGAGGTATACATGCGAAACCCTAAGCCCTAACCGCATAGGTTTACCCTAAACCCTAAACCCTAAACCCTAAACCCTAAACCCTAAACCCTAAACCCTAAACCCTAAAAGGGATCTGGTATAAGTGGGGGTTATTGGGAACCTCCCTTTCTAGGGATCCCTCTTATGACTTCCTTACATAAGTCCCCAATAAGGTACGTAGGCCTTTCGGGGTATGGGTCAACGACAGTTTCAAGGGAACTTAAAACCCCCCAACACCAAACAAAAGCGACCCCCTGAGTCCCTCTGAAGCTGGTGTTGGGGTTTAGGGTTTCGGATTGAAGGTTCGAGTTTCGGATTTAGGGCGTAGCGTCTAGGATTTAGGGCTCATAGGTCTAGGGAAGAAGTTCGAGGCTTGCAAAATTGTTCCCCAACTTCGGGAAGGCGTCGAGCGCCCGAGATCCGTGGAGGGTCGGGAGACTTACTGTTGATGATAGAAATCCGGGTTTAGGGTTTAGGGTCTAGGGGTTTAGGGTTTAGGGTTTAAGGTAGATGATAGAATTCTGCATTACCTTAAGGACCCTCAACTATGGGAATTATGGTAGAGTCCTTATTATGCGTCATGCAGGATTTATATCATCAACCGTGGTAAGTAGGTAAGAAGTGGACTTACAAGTAGACTGAAAGGGTTCCTAAATGGGGCAATGATACTTATAAGTCTACAAAAGAACTACTTGCCAAGCCCTTGCGGGTCAGCTCTGAAGGAGGCCAAACCTAAACCCTAAACCCTAAACCCCTTGCTTAGATGAAGACGCTTTAGGAGTTTCCTTGAAGATTTGCCAGGTGTTTGGTGCCTAGGGTTTAGGGTTTAGGGTTTAGGCAGTTTAGCCTGAAACTCGAAAACCTCGAACCCTAAGTAGGTTCAGAAAGGGGTCTACTTGGAGGGTCGGGGGACTTAGCAGTTACAGACGCAAGCGTTTAGGGCTTCATGGTTTGGGGCTCAATGCATTAGGGACTCACGTTGTGTCAAGGCTTTGGGTTATAGGTTGGGGATTGCAGGGTTGAGGGTTCATGAGGTCTTAGGGCACGGGCTTGTTGCAATGGCCTAAACCCTAAACCCTAAACCCTAAATCCTGACACCCTAAACCCTAAATCCTGACACCCTAAACCCTAAACCCTAAATCCTAAAACCCTAAAACCCTAAACCCTAAGTTGCCTGCAGACATGGAAGCATTCGGAGCATCGCTGGCCTCGCTTGACATCGCGCGACAGGTGCGAAGGTCGAACTCGATGCAGATCGGCTTCGGAGCGCTGTCAAAGACCCTAAACCCGAAACCCTAAACCCCTAAACCCTAAACCCTAAACCCCTAAACCCCTAAACCCTAAACCCTAAACCCTAAACCCCAAACCCTCAACCCTACACCCCAAACCCTAAAGCCAGTGTGGGCTGATTCCTCTGCCAGGCGTCTTGCCTGAAGCACTGCCGGAGGAGGCAGGGAAGCCTAAACCCTAGGACCTATAGGGTGATGCTAGAAATCCTGCATTACCTTAAGGACCCCAAACTATGGGGATTATGGTAGATTCGTTATTATGAGTCATGCAGGATTTATATCATCCACCGTAGGACCGAGGTTGCGGAGCTCAGGTGTACCTATACTCTATAGTCTCCATGGCAACTACCTCTTTTTGGTTTAACCAACTGCATATTCAGGATCCTATAGGTCCTAGAAGGTTTAGGGTTTAGGGTTTAGGGTTTAGGGTTTAGGGTTTAGGGTTCAGGGTTTAGGGTTTAGGGTTCCCCACAAAGGACCATGCTAATTGACTCTTATTGGTTTGACCAACTGCAAATTCAGGATCCTAGAAGGTAACCCCACAAAGGAACTAGAATGGAGACCACGGGGTAGGGTGGAGGGTGGAGTCCCTAAACCCTAAACCCTAAACCCTAAACCCTAAACCCTAAACCCTAAACCCTAAACCCTAAACCCTAACCCCCCTCTGGCTTGAAGCCTTGCCTCTGAAGGAACCTCAGAAGCCGTAGTGTCCGGAGTCCCCAACCATGAGTAAAGTAGGGGCCAAAATGATTACCAATAATATGTTGGGGGTTCCTTATTATAGTTATAGTATAAAGGGCAAACCCTAAACCCTAAACCCCTAAACCCCAAAACCCTATTCCAATTATTAAGGCCCCTGTATTCTCTGAAATGCTTAGGCTGAAGCTCCAGCTTAGGGTTTCTAGGGCTTCGACGCTATAAAGCCTAGAAGTGCTGAATCTTGAACAAACCCTGAACCCTGAACCCTTGAACCAAACCCCTAAACTGAACCGCAAGATCCAAGTTTCGAGTTCTGGTTTAGGGTTTAGGGTTTAGGGTTTAGGCTTTAACTAGTGTTTTCCTGAAGTGTTTGTCATGGAAGCAAGCACCCGCCTTCAAAGACTTGCCATCCAAGTGGTGCACCATGTATCCTCAGGTCTTCTCAGCTATCTTGAGGGGCATCGCATCGCGCTTTGCATGAGTTCTACGGTTGATGCTATAAATCCTGCATTGCCCATAATAAGGAATATACCATAATTCCCATAGTTTAGGGTTCTGAAGGTAATGCAGGATTTCCATCATCAACACTATGGGGCTGTGCAGCATTTCGTTCGGTGGATTGTCCTAGTGCTCCCGGCTTCGGACGTACAAACCCCGGAAGGATTTAGAGTTTAGGGCTTAGTGTTTAGAATAATCTCGCCTGGGTAATCAAAACTGTTGGTATCTTGGGGTAATCAAAAGAATGCGGGGGGGGAGGGAGGGGGGCGGGGGCGGGGGGCGGAGAGAGCTTGAAGTGCTGTGCATCGGCATGGCGTATTGGCACAAACAGCCATAGACGGGGAGAGAGCTTAGGGTTTTGGGTTTAGGGTTTGATGTTTTGGGGCTTACCGGTTCAGGGGGTTGAGGTTGGCTTGAACCACTAGTCTACACCCACACCACTCAATGGCCGAGCCGCCATCGATGCCGGCAGCAGCGAAGACGCCAACGACTGCATCTTGAAGAGACTGCTTCGGCCTTGGCCATCATTCCGGTTTGGGGCGTGTAAGGTTCTGGGGCGTGAGGTTACGAGCTCTTCATGCTCCTGTGGTCTTCCCTAAACGCCATACCCCAAGACCCCCCTTTCCCGCATGCCCTAGCCAAATACGTCGATTGCTGGCTTAACCCTTTTTGGGGGGACGACAAGTCAGTGAGCATCATTGTTCAAACCCTAAACCCCCAACCCTAAACCCGAAAACCTAAACCCTAGACCCTAAAATCTAAACCCCAAACCCTCAACCCTAAAGCCTCATCATTCATCCGACCCCTCGATTTATTGCTTGCTGCTGCCTGAGGGATCGTCGGGCGCAGCTTTGGTTTGGTTTAGGGCACATCGGACTCTTGGGGCTTGTGGGGTTCGAGTGTTTTTAGGGGCTGGGGGTTTGGGGCGGGTAGAGGTCGTAGGGTTCAGCGTTTAGAAGTTTAGGGTTTAGGGTTTAGAGCTTAGGGAATCTATTCTGCCAAAGCTCGGTTTAGGAGAAGGACAGAAAGCCCAGATACCTCCACATCACCCTCAAATCTCCACCGACTCAACCTGTTGGACCCATGAGGTGCATTGAGCCCTCAGTCTCAACTTCAAATCCCCCTATCCCAAACCGTCAATGACTGTTTAGGGTTTAGGGAGTTTAGGGTTTAGGGTTTCACTGATTCCCAACCGAGGCATGGACGGCAGGGCTGCGTTCTCCAGCGCCGCCCAGGACTCTTGGATAAAGACGCGGTGCCTTGAACCACGGTAGGGCTACAGGCTGCGTGCCGTGGGGGTAGGCTTGACGGATTCATAGGGCTGACAAGGCTTCAGCTTGAAGATATGTGTTTTTGGATCTAGTTCTTTCTAGGTTCAAGGTCTCATCGAGGTTAAACACTTTCGCAAGAGTGGCAGAAAGTGGCGATAGTGGTTGAGACGCCAAGGGAGGCGGTGCCGAACCTCTTCCTTCGCCTATATCGTGATCGACACCCAAAAATTGCACGTATCAATTGTGGCGACAGCGGCGTCGCTTCTCTTCCGATGAGACCGGCCAAACCAAAGACCAAAGACTCCTCCTTCATCAATGGCCGTCGTCTGCCGATCAAGAAATGATCGTCGCTTTAGCAGGCCACGTCACGAAAACAGGCACCCGGCGTAGTGTGGGTCCGGAAATCAGCTCCATCAAGTTTTCCACTTGGTTCGTCACAGACGTCGGCGGTCCCCCGTTGGGGCACCACACTGAGCTGCGGATGTGACCCTGCATGGGCTGCAAGGGCATAGCAGACGGCGGTCCACAGTGCCTGTCCAAAAAAATAGCTAACCGAACACCCCATACCCTGGTCGGGGATGTATCTATCCGCGTACCTCTATCTATCTATCTATCTATCTATCTATCGATCTATCTATCTATTTATCGATCTATCTATGTATCTATCTCCCTACCTGGCTAGCTAGCTCGCTAGCCAGCTAGCCAGCTAGCAAGCTAGCTATCTATCTATGCATACAATATACGGATAGTAATATAGTATATATATATATATATATATGCTGTTTTCTAATGCCGTAAACCAAGCCGCTAGCTAGCTAATTAGCCAGCTAGCAGGCTAGCAATCTATCTATGTGCACAATATACAGATAGTAATACAGTATAGTATACATGCTGTTGTCTATTGCCGTAAACCAAGCGCCCTGATGGTCAAGACTTTCGCAGCGGGCAACCAACCCATGAGTCGCGGGAATAAGACCCAATCCAAGGTTGGGATTCCGAAATCGCTCCGTTAGGGCTTAAGTCAGAGTCTGGGGTGTAGGTTGATTATGTTGGGGCTTGAGTATCAGGCCTTTGGTGTCTATTGTAGTATACCTACAAAAATTAGGAACTATATAAACGGGAAGACTACTTTTGAATGTTGAAACCAGGCTGAGGGGGCTTTTGGATCACCTCTAGCATCGGTTGGAAGCTCTAACTGAACAAATTAGGATAGGCATATCCCATACAAACCCCTCGTAATGGAGCCAAATGAGGAAGGATATCCCTGAAACATGCTTATGCTTGCTGTGTGTGTGTGTGTGCTGTTGTGTCCCTGCTACACATGGCCGCGGACTGGAACGTAAGCACTGAGTCAACGAGGAAAAGAAAACACATCCTAAACCTTAAACCCTAAGTAAACCCTAAACCCTAAAACCTAAACCCCTAAACCACTAAACCCTTAAACCCCTAAACCCCTAAACCCTAAACCGCTAAACCTCAAGATTATAGCTACTGGGATCTCAGCCGCTGTTTCACAGCTCGCCAGGTCGGAACTCGAGATTCTCCGATTCGGGCTTTGGGTTTAGGGTTTAGGGTTTAGGCTGTGGGGTGTCGGTTTAGGTTTCCGTGGTTTTGGTTTCAGGTTTCCGTGGTTTAGGTTTCGGGCAAGCCCTCACCCCACCACACGAACACACTGCCCAAGGAACCGCTCCACCTTGGAAAAAAGCGCTAAGACCCAGGCTGTGGATCCATCAACGATGCCTCGCAGGCAGAGTTTACGACTGGGGTTCTACCCGGTCACCCCAGGCCCAAAACCCGAAACCGCATCTTCTGTTCGCCTACTTGGAGGATCTTGGGACTTAGTAAGTAGGGTTATAAGTACCCTAATTGGGGTTACAAGTATAGTTACCTTGTTTATAACCTCAGTTACTAAGTCCCATGATCCTTTAAGTATGGCTAAGGCAGCATGTGGGCTTCGCATCTCCGGTCTGCATCTCTGAACCGACACCGGGTGCTCGACGGCGAGGTGTGCACAGTACATTTTGAGGACAGGTCGGTATTTCGAAATAGAGCTTTCAGATCGGTATTTCGAATTAGACCTTTCAGATCGGTATTTGGACATAGAGCTTTCAGATCGGTACTTCGAAATAGAGCTTCCAGATCGGCATTTCGAAATAGACCTTTCAGATCGGCATTTGGACATAGAGCTTTCAGATCGGTA